TATTTTTAAATTACTGCAAAGTCAAGGAAACAATTGATCATAATATTCTTTTTCAAGTACTAAATAATATTTATATAAGGGGCGACTCAATAACTCATATAGTGATCCTTTACGAGTAACCATGAGAGTTCCGCAAGGTATCGTACTGGGACCTATACTATCATTAACTAACCTACCATATGTACTTTTTTGTATCAAAGTGCTTAATAACCCAATATTATTATTATTAAATTAGTAACTGAGCATTACCTAGGTCATCTACTCCTGCAACTTCCGAAGCGAACCTGATACACCTGGTACAGTGGATACACCTAGTCATGATGGTCTTGATAAGTGGTCCAATATCTTTATCTTCAACTGCCCTCTTTCCAGAAAACTCATTGTCAGTAAACCTGGATCTATCTGAACCAAAAGCCATACTTTGGTCCTGTAAATCGCATTCACCCCCTTGATCACAAATAGGGCAATCCAACGGATGGTTCACCAAGAGAAATTCCATAACACCCTCTCTAGCTCGACGAGTCATTTCAGAATCAGTTTTTATACGCCAACCTTTTGAAGAAGTCATCATTATTATTTTGATTAGAGATGATAGATATTCATCGATAGCAAATAACCAAGGATGTTTAGTGAAAGAGCAAGTTTTTATTTCGATCTCAAGTCCTTGAAAACATCAACACATTGATGTTATGATAATATTGTAACATCAATATTGGTTAGGGCGTCTACATTAACTAGGTGTACTATATTTCACTAACATTGTTAGCATTAGTTCACCTGCACCCAATTTACAGTAGATGTTGCCTATGAATGTCATCAAACTAGGCTAAAAGAATACACAATCCTTTGCACTTCTTACCTGTGATAAAGTTATTTTTTACAGTGTATTCCAAAAAACTGGAAATGGTAACTCTTCAAGTTCACATAATCACTACTCTAATTGAAAAATATAGATTGTTTATTTTGCTACCAACATCATCAATGTTTTCGGGCACTGATATATTTCTTTTTTTTCGATACTAGTAGTACATCAGTACTTCTGAATTGATGTTGACTTTTCTAATATCGATCATCCCTACTTTTGATTCACAGGATTTATACATACCTTTCATGACAGGCATAGCACAAGCTGCAACAGGTTTGGGAGACTTTTCGACTTCAACGAGACACATTCTGCAGTTTCCAGCAACTGCTAAACGCTCGTGATAACAGAATCGTGGGATTTCGATTCCAATCATGGCAGCAGCTTGTAAAACTGTGGTTCCAGGTTCAACATATACTGGCTTGTCATCAATGAAAACTTCAACTTTTTCAGGTTTTTTAACTTCTCCACTTTGCGCTCTTGTGATTACGAATAGATGGTTGGGGTTTAGTTTGGCCCCGTTTAGGACCTTGGTGAATGAACGTAACATATTCAGCTGAAAACAGAGGTGATTATAAAGTTGAATTACATAATAACCAAAGAAATCAGATATAACCTATGAGAATGTGGATTTAAAAAATTTAATGAACATAAATATAATATTGAAATTTGAAAAAATCATATATCAATGTATCGAACTAGCACCTTTTTTATAACAAATAAATTAGGGTTTACAAGACTGACATGGTAATATTGGGGAATATCTTTTTCACTCTTCCCAAATTTGACACTTAAACTGACAGTTTGACAACAGTGACAGTAGATGACAAAATATAAAATTAAATGATCAGTGGCGGAGAGGTTGAAAATTTTATAAGTGCAGTAAGTGATTCGAAGGATTTCTACATGCAAATGATACTTAAAGGCCATAGAATTTTCAATAAAACTTGAAATTACTACGTTGAGTATGATCATTCCATCAATTCAATTCATTCGTACATAAAAATTACAGCATTCAATAATGACAGCCTATCTCACTAACACACAATGAGCTAAAAATAGATACAGATATTTCTGCTCTTCAAACCATCAAATATGGGGTACCCCAAAGCTCGGTCCGTGGGCCTTTACTGTTTTACATATATATTAACATTTGCCAGTATACGTCTGGTAGAACCCACACTATTCTCTTTGTTGACAATACTTCTCAGTCACCAACAGCTCTCCAAATTCACTTACTCTATTATGTATGAGAGAAATTGGTTTTTCTGCAACTAAATGATCAGAAAACTCAAAAATTAAATCACTCGTAAAATATTGAGAAATGCATATTTATACCTATTTCACTCCAGAATTAGTTGTGTCGAAATCTGATGTGGTTATTCTTGCAAGCTGTAAGCTCAAAAATAGGTTCTACGTCTGTTAACTGGAGTAAATATTAGTGAGCGGTGTCGTGACTAATTGATCAAATTGAAGATAATGACGATTCCATGTATTTACATCCTTCAGTCTGCTCGTGAAATACACGAAAATAAAAAAAATTATTCATTTACCTCTGACATTCCCAGTTATGAAACTAATTCTACAGACCAAATAGTGTTGCCGGTTTTTCGTTTAACCAAATGCAAAGTAAATCAAATCGATGACTAGTATGTCAACACAGTCAACTGTAAAATGAGAATAACATCTCTATCGAAATATGATGAAAATTAAAATGTATGATTGTTTATTTCGCATTCATTGAGGTTTTTAGATAATAATTTCATTTTGTTTTTTATTTGTTCATTTAACAGTTTGCACTGATTCCTTTTGAAGTCAAAAAAGGAACAGAAATCATGATCGACGGGATTGGTCATTCCGGGATCAGAATCGAAATTATAGTAAAAAAACGTAACTTACATGTTCCTACGATGTTTCAAGTTTTTACTATTTTTATTCCGGCAACACTGTGGCTACGTAACATCCTTTTTGGTGAAATTTCTTTAAAGGAAGATTGTCTTGTACGTTTGTCATCGTTTGATATTAGAAAAAAATATATCAAAATGACTTTTGGTGATTTGAAAACCGAAAAAGGAGTAAAGGAACTAAACAGCTTCCTGGAAGACAAAAGTTATATTAGCGGGTGAGTAATTTTCAAAATTGAAATTTGTTTCACTTGGGGGCTAATATTACAAAAGTCATATATTAAACGTATTTTTACCTTGAAATTGATTTTTGAGGCACTCGTCTTGTAACGTTTTTATTTTGTGAATAATATTGTTCAGCTAGAACATATGCTAAGAAGACCTAACCTAACTATTTCCGTATCTAGTATTGTCCATTAAAAAAACCGGTTTACTTCATTTATTTAGTTATTTCAAGGGATAAACCAATTTACAATATGTATATATGTTCACTGAATGTTAGACTAGAATGCTACCGATTTGTTGATTTCAACATACTACAAATTGTATTTTTACCGTAAGTGGTTCTGATAGAGGAATTTCGAAAATATTACTTGCCTCTGATCCATCCCTAATTTTTGCAGAAAGAGTACAAAGTTTTTTTGTAAATCAGTCTAGCCATTGACAACTTTACACATGTATGGGATCTGTTTCAAGTCTTCCACGATATTCAGTATTCATGTTTGATATACTCAGTATTGGTGAATAGTTGTACGATTCTCTATTGAACCCTAGATGATGAGCAAAGTTTCTTTAAATTTCATGTTGACACCATTCTAACAAATCTTCATCGATATTATAATGAGGCGACCATTTGTGCACAATTTCATTTACATATATTCAATACTGAGATCTGTTGCAGATCAAAGTGTGGAAGCCTAACATTTTGTGAGCTCAACATTAAGTTTCCATTATGGGTTACATTATTATTTATATTTTCTAATTGAAAATAATCTCTAGATCTTTAACTATACCAGTTATCGCTACATTTTTCCATTGATTTCATTTTAAAAATTATTTGAATTATTAATTTTCTGCCATTTATCTGAATTTGGGTTTAATAAGTTGATGTTGCACCAATTAGTAAAGTAATCTAATGTTAGACTATACTGCATTTCCTAAGCATCTGAGATATATATCAAACTGTTTTGAACATTGTAAAATCAACTGCCAACATGAGAAATGAACAATGGCCACATTATTTATTAATAAATCAAACTATAGAAGGCCCATGAGGAAACCTTGAGTGTCTCCTGAAGATACTTCAATCTGTACTTTACTAGAAACTTGATTCAAAATAATTATTCCAGGTATGCCGTGAGTCAAGCAGACATTGATGCTCTTGCCCAACTAGCCAAAGCCCCTGGTGCTAACTTGCCTCATGCGCTACGTTGGTATAACCACATCAAATCATTCTCTGCTGACGAACTCAAGAAATTTGGCGTATCAGGTGCCAGTCCTCTGAAAACAGCAGGTACAACCACAGCTAAGGACGATGACGACGATGTAGACCTCTTTGCTTCCGATGAGGAAGAAGATGAAACAGCAGCCAAGGTACGAGAAGAAAGGCTCAAAGCATATGCAGACAAAAAATCTAAGAAGCCTGAACTCATTGCTAAGTCCAGCATTGTACTTGATGTTAAACCGTGGGATGATGAAACTGATATGAAAGAATTGGAAAAAGCCACTAGAACTATTGAGATGGAAGGTTTGGTTTGGGGAGCGTCCAAACTGGTTCCGGTTGGATACGGTATCAACAAACTTCAAATCATGTGTGTAGTTGAAGATGCCAAAGTTTCCGTTGATGAGTTGGTAGAGAAAATACAGGAGTTCGAAGATTTTGTCCAATCTGTGGACATTGCTGCTTTCAATAAGATTTAATTTTATTGTTCGATATTGTTTTATTAAATTCATGATTAAGTCAAGCTGTGTCATTCATTATTTATTTTCCATCATTTGATTTTGACAATCAATATTATTTATATAAACTCAGTATATACTTGAACATGAAGGAGATTATACAGATTCACATTTGGACTACAATTGGCTCAAACGGGTATAACTGTTTTTGCAGGTCTGCAGGTCAGCAAATTGTTGTCAGTAAACATTGCTCTCGTAATTTTGTAGGACAGAAATTCTTGCAGGTCGGGTCTCCCAGATATGAATCTCGACCGGATGAATCATTTTTGACAAAAAATTCAATCCCCACATTTCTCATAAAATAAAAAAAAAACTAACAGGTCGGCAGAAATTCTTACAGGTCGGGTCTCCCAGACCCGACTATGTCTGGCAGACCCGACCTGCAAGAATTTCTGCCGATCTGCAAGGTTTATCATTTTTAAGAAAAATGTGAATTTTGTTCATATTCAAAGTTTGGGGATTGGTATTTTTTTGTCGAAAATGATTAACCTAAGCAAGATTCATGTCTGGGAGACCCGACCTGCAAAGCGCATTAATAATAATAATATTTATTTATCCTTTGAGACATTAACAACGTATAGGACATGTCAGTACAACACGTTAAAATAGTATAAAGAAAATAAACATACATTAAGATAAAATATCTCAGTAGTTTTAAAGTATAAAATGTATAAAATATAAAGAAAAAAACACAAGATTAGTCAAAATTGGATGTATAATAAAATAATAAAATCTGGATGAATTTCTGCCGACCTGCAAGATTTATTTTCATTTTTGTGAGAAATGGGTTGGGGTTGGAAATTTTTTACGAAAATGATCAACCTGGTCGAGATTTATGTTGTAGAGTTTTGGAGCATGACAGAACACGAATCTTTCTGTATGGCTTTTCTCGTAGAATAGGTATTTGAATTCTTGACTGCTATAGTTCTTACTTGTTGTATTTGTTACATAGCTGTTAAAGTTCGAGAACATCCTTACTAGACATTGGTGACTATATCATGATCTTAAGTTAAGTAAGATATAGATGATCCATTGAAAACGTCTATTTTTTCAATATCATTTTTAAAAATTGAGTTATGTGCTATTTGTAATCTATTAATGTGGTAGTTGAAAGTACCATCCCATGTTATAATACATTATCTCATTTTGGATTCTGCCAAATATAAGACAGTATTAAAAATAATTTATTTTTGAGAGAATATCTCTGAGTATAAAATTTATGCATGAGTGGTCTTATCCATAGTGTTACATTTGTCCTATCTCATATGTTCAAGTTCTTGTCTTCATCTTCAATAGAAAACAGGCTAGGCTCTACTGATTTACTGTTTTAAAATGATTTCAAATTGATATGGAGATAACTGATGAACACTACCTACATTCATCTCAACAACTTTAATCTGATCGAAAAAGAAAAAATAAATCTTTTTTTCATAAACTCACCTTACTATTTAATCTTCACAAACTTTATTTTTAAAAAATATCACAGCCGAATCAATCAGAAAAAAAAACATTTTCTTTTAATGAGAAAAACAGAAATATGCTTTTCATGGGCTTAAAAGTTCTTGATATAAACATGTTTAATTACAACCTTTCCCCTTCAACTAGATATTTTCCAGTCGAGAAGCTGGATTGATTATCCTATGTTACATCTCTGATGAGACTGTGAATGACAATGATGCCGTTGACATAAAAACCTCTGGTTTCATTTTATAATTTTAAAATTCCTACTTATCATTGAGTTCTAACATTTTATACAATCTCAAATTATTACTCTTTACTAAAAGTGTCCTATTTTCTATCTTAACACTAGGTAAACTGTAGTAATCAGGAACTGTTTTTTGTTCCACAAAATCCACAAGCAATGGTTCTTTGTCTTTATGTGGTAATGGCTCCCTAGAAGCAACAAGTGGCTGTGATGGAGCTTGGCTGACAGATAATGGTATCAAATTCCTAAAGTTAGGTTCGCTGTAAGGAAAGTTAATTTTCTGGGTTACCTAAAAATAATTTGGTCAATAAACAATTTATTTTAGATTCAGTGGAATTGAAACAAGCTAAGTGATTTATACCTACTTTTTCATCAACAGCAAGTTTCTTATGTCCCACATCTGATAAACTCTTGGTTTTCCTGGGTTTCGATATTTCATCAATTTTTTTGGATAATTTTAGTGTTGAGCACAATGTCGGGACATCAAACTTCGTTTGAGGTTTATTTCTCTCGGAGATAGTTTTTTTCGAATCTGCTGGATTTAAATTTTTCGAGTCTTTTTTTTCAGTCTCTGTTGGGGCATCTGGGACCACTTTACATTTTTGGACGGGTTTTTCAGTATTCCGTACGAGAGTTTTCTGGATCAAGTTTTTTTGTTTATGAGCATTCATAATTCATCTGAAATTTATCTGTACTATTCAATTTTGATAAAATATTCAACAGAAAACTAAGGAAAGTTAAGCTTGAACTTTTTTGAATTTCCCATTAATAAATGAGTTCTTCTTCTCTCATATTTCATTGACCTTAGATACCAGAGCAAATCAGTAGGGTTTATCTGACAAGGGGTTAAATTTCTTAAACCATAGGAAACAATTCACAATTTATTGAAATTTTTTCTCAATTTTTTATTCGGAATGAAATCGAATATAAAGCTGATTTGAATAATGTGAACTCTTTCTAATCACCACAAACTTATTGCTTTATTGACACGACTATATTTTTTTAATTATCAGCTTCAATTCTTGCGCAAAATCAATGATGATTTATTTTTAGGTTTTCTCTTGGTGTTTGTATGAAACATTTGAAATTGAATTTGTTTGAGAAATAGTTGTATGGAATTCTGAGAAATCAATTCAAGTAGTTCTTGAAATTAATTTCGATTAATTTTAGGTATTTTATTTACTTTATCGAAGACTTGTTTTAATTGCTTTGGAATTCGACCATTGGCAGACACAGATTTGAGTAAAAGCAAAAAAATCGCGTATATCACGCCTATAGGACTATTTTCGAGCTAGGAGAAAATAGTAGAAGAAAAGTCATTGGACAGAAATATTGTCGTGAGGTTGCGCTAGCGTTAACACAAAACTGAGGGAAAGCAAAAAATAGGTTTTATATGGGCTAAACCGCAATAGAAAATATTTCAAATGCATTCCGGTTGAAATGTCTATTAGGTAAATGATTCATCAATTTGCTGATCAATTAATCGATTCTGCATTTGATTTTTCATTTATTCGATATTTCTGAGAGTTTTTAAAGCGTGCATTTTTCGGGATATATTCATTACACTAGTTTCACATTAATATGTTCTTAATCTAGGTACTGATCATTATGGCAATGTTTGTATAAACGAAAAATACAATATTTAAATCAAGCAAGTAAAACTTGAATGTTTAAAATTGCGGATTATATCAATAATTTTTTTTCCTTGACTTCGACCTTCGAATTGTGAAACTTAGATGTCGCGATAACGGTATCTCTGAAAATACATTATAAATTTAAGATGGCACTACTGTCCTGTGTAGGCAACTAATATTTCAGTAAGGATGAATAAATGTTCATATATGATCCACTACACTAGTGTTTTAAATATCTGTATTTTTAGTTATTCTTGTAAACATTTTTGTTTTCATAAACAAATCGAGATTGTTTTCAATGACATTTTATTTTTTCTTGTACTTGGAGCTTTGAATCATTCATATTGAAATTCCATTTTGAAAATGTATAGTAGAGTGCTGACAATGCGAAAACACTTGAAAAATATGTAATACTGCAACATAGCAAATAAAAAATAGTTCAGAGTACGGTATTACTTGAGTATGAACCTAAGTCAGTAGTTTTTTTCATCATGAAATTCCTCAAACTGATATCTCTTTTGTCAGTCTTGTATTTTATATTTCTCTTGTCGATTTGCGCTTGTTGGGACCTTTCAAGTTACGGAGTGAATAATAAAAATTATTATATATCAAGTGTTGCAGTTTACCGAACGAGGGCATTTTTAGCATTGCCCAGAAGTATGTGCTACAACGCTTTTAGTGGACCAACATTGGTAGAAACAAACTGGATTGAAGAACTCCTCCATACTCCTATTATCAAAGGCGGAAGGTGTGTAGATTATTGAAAATATCCGCAAGTGGAAAAAAATGTTATTTTTATAGAACTAAAATGAAAAGTAGTTTTTTCCTGAATAGCCTAGGGGATTTCCAGGGCTATTCAGTGCAACCTGTGATGTGTTGCGAAATGGGTATCTACCGACACCCTGAAAATAATTCAGTCATAGATAGATACAGCTGCCGGACTGAGTCATGGCCGGTGGAAAGCCCCTCCCTCAAGATGTGCAGTAGATGTGTAGAAATTTGTTATCAGTCTGTTAGAATATTCGAGTCGTAAACATCCAAATTCAGGACCGTATTAACCCTGCGTACGACAAGTGCGGTGTGACATACACTCTCATATTCACATCTCAAATCAGTCGTCGTTTGACGTATGTTTGAATCAGACCTGTTAAAAAGCGATTGGGGTGCACGAAAACCACGTGTCTCTATACGTTCCAAAATCGTGCAAATTCAAAGAAAACTAAATCGAGTAGTTTTTCAGATTATTCGATAAAAATAGGTGATTATGAGCGAGAAATGGCCCGTCTTCAGTCCTTATGGGATAAAATAGGAAGTGATGATGAAATTGACGAATCTGATGGTGATGAAACGAGCGATATTGTTAGCATCGTTAGTAACTATCCAGATTTCGAAGATCAGAGGAGAAACTGTGGAACTTCCATCCAAAAAACTTGAAAACAAAATGGTCTAGGAAGGTGTCAAGATTGCCATCGTGCCCGTGAACGAAATACAAAATACATTTGTAAGGAATGCAATAAATTTATATGTCTGGACCATGCAGAAATGTACACCAAATCTTGCGTAGAAATGGCAAATGTTGATGACCTGTAACTTTTTTTAATGATTTTCGATAATATTTCTTTAATTTCTATTTTATGATGTTTTATTATCTGTTTGAACCAATTATTTGAAATTTATTTAGTCGTTTTATGTGCAAAATACTTCTTCGAGTAAATCTATATTTTTTCCATTAAAAGAACCCATTGTTTTGGTAAAGACGGAATATACTTATGATGCACGGTTTGGAACCTTTGGTGTAGTAATGAATATTACTGGACTTTTTCCCCAACACCAAATCGTTATTTTTAACACCTCGACACGTGTTTCGATCACCAAGTGATCAACTTCAAGAGGAATATTAAACTGGAACTGATCGAAACACGTGTCGAGGTGATAAAAATAACGATTTGTTGTTGGAAAAATACGGAATATAACAATTTATTGCTCGTTTTGGTATATCGAAAATTATTTTATTGAAAAAGAGATATTACAGTACCATATAATTCTCACAACAACTAAGTATGTTGTTAATTTTAACAGAAAAATCATATTGGGGTCTCACACACCCCACCTGTCTACAAATATTACAAAAGTTCACATGTCGGACGCAGGGTTAAGTTAGTTTCTTTTCCTTTTTTTCCAAATACTTTCTTTGTCAAACACCGACCCAAACTTTACGCAGATACCATTTCTCACAGCCGGTGGAAAGCCCCTCCCTCAAGATGTGCAGTAGATGTGTAGAAATTTGTTATCAGTCTGTTAGATTATTCGAGCCGTAAACGTGAACTTGCAAACAAAGTTTCTTTTCCTTTTTTTCCAAATACTTTCTTTGTCAAACACCGACCCAAACTTTACGCAGATACCATTTCTCACAGCGGCGATGACTCAGTCTGGTAGCTGTAGATATTCATTTTCACAGAGTATACGAAATGTTTTGAAAAAATACTGTGCTAATAACATTATCTCACATATATTTTAATTTTTCGAAGAAATTAATCACTCAAGGTTACTCAAGGTAAGGTCCTAGATTACATAGGGATTATTTAACTAACTTCAGAAATCTGCTAGTAGCTTCAATAATATTTCCTATATCCTTCGGAAGAGTATTGTAAAATTTCTCAGATTTGGTGCAATGTTCATAAAATGATTTTTTATGAATTGAAGGGGTTATATTTTTAGGAATGATTAATTTATGGGAAAGAAAGTTTTTGGTTTTCTACTACTCCATCTTGATACAAAAAAGGATGAGGGAATCTTCCAAAGAAAAAAGGAAGTAATCAATTTTTTATGTATTGGATACGGACAATGGTTTTTATTTCTTGTTTCGTAGGCTTGGCTTTTACGGTGTATTCCAAAATTATCTGATCAAAAATTAATCTAAATTTTTTTTTGCATAAGCCACACGGCCATGCGATAACATGAAATGTCAGAACGTGTTTTCATAGAAATATTAAATTTATCTATTTTATTATGAAAACAGGACAGTTGTACAAAATACTTTGTATGATATTTGTGTTAAAAGTAAGTTTTATTTTATTCATGAAATTGTTCAACTCGCTACGATCGTTTCGCAGACTCTTTCACTCACAAAATAAAACCTTACTTTCAACACTCATATCATAAATAGCTTTTCTTACGCGGAGTTTTTTTTAATATGTTACTAAACAACCTAGATCAAACAATTAAAGAAATTGTGAATTGAAGGGGTTATATTTTTAGGAGTGATTAATTTTTGGGAAAGAAAGTTTTTGGCTTTCTACTACTCCATCTTGATACAAAAAAAGGTGGAGTAGTAGAAAGCCAAAAACTTTCTTTCCCAAAAATCAATCACTCCTAAAAATATGACCCCTTCAATTCAAATTAGATTCCTCTTGGCTGGGAATTAATCAAATAGGAGAATGAATGTCATTACCATGTCATCGATGACATAAGCAGATCAAGATAATTCCGTGACATTAAAAATCGTAATTCATGAATGAATTGTGTGTATTTTCTATAATGTTATCCAATTTTGTACTGAAGAGCCTTAGGACAAGTGTCTTAACATCGATGTATTTCAGTGAGGATGACAGTGTTCCATGTAAGTGCAATTTGTTACCATTCATTTAAAGTAGAACCCATGTGAATGATATCTGATTTTATTCCACAACGAATGTTTGAAATACAAACTGAGTAGAGAAAAGTATCTTCTGTATAATTCAGTGTTCATATAGAAGTATTTGTTTCGAAAAAAAAATTTATTTTCTTTCGTGTAATTCAATGTTTATATGAAAGTAGCTGTTGCAGGAGGACTGTTTTTCAGTTTGTGTCTGAAAATTACTTCTTTGCATGATCTACATATCCATATATACAGTTACTTATTTTCAAATTGATTACTTCCTTCCCTCATTTTTTTTGTATCAAGATGGAGTAGTAGAAAGCCAAAAACTTGCTTTTCCAATGAAGAAATTGTATTTTCAACTTAGTGCATTTTTACAAAATCTTGTCTCAAAACACGTTTTCAATCTGATGAAAAAATTGAACTTGGAAAAAAAACAGTGGCGTACAATAATTTTTACCATAAATATCAGTCAGGTGACTGGACTTGTTATTTGTAATCCAATTCCATGAAAAGAAGCTCTCTGTCAATTGTTGACACCTAGTTTGACTAAAATCGGCGAAAATACTTTTGAGTTATTGATAAAAGAACAATATTTTTAGTAAAGCTGTGACAACCCGTTACTCGGAAAGGAAGCAAGTTAGGACACACGTTCACATACATTTTTTTCTTAAAATATGACAAGTAATCACCGCTTGAAATTAATGACATCATTCAAGATACACCCTCTATATTATCTTAAAGAGTTTTCCTTTTCCGAAACATTTTTTATGCACTAAAGAAGATGTGAAAATAACGATAACGATACCTTCTCTCAACAAAGTACTGGAATCATGAATCTTCTTTCAATCGACAGCACAAAATCATGCACAATACAGCTGTAAGGTTTTCATTGTGAAACTGAGAAACTTTATTCGTTTCAGACACCAAATTTTGAACTATCAGAAATGGGGAGAATGTGAACACATCCAAGATGCAGTGTCATTGGACATAGAACACAAGGTTCACAAGTTATGGATTCTCGATAGGGGAAACGAGCTGTGCCTCCCAAAAATAGCTTCCTTCAGTTTATTCTACAACTCCATATCCGAAGTATCCCAGTTGACAAATATCATTGGTGGAAAGTTGAATATACTCACTATCGATCCAGTAGTGGGAAAAAGCGGACAAAGAGCATATGTGGGAAATGCAGGTAATAATCATTCGTACTATAAGGTATCGTAGGCTAAAGAAATATAGTCTATTTATTCAAAAAACACTTCATTGTGAGATGTTCTCTTCTAAATGTCGATTTCGAAAACAATAAAGAGAAAACTTCAGCGTCGAATCGATCAGGAGTATATAAGTTAACCGAAACTTTATATTGGTCAAACGGGAAGATATTTTTCCAAAGAATTAAGGAGCATATAGAAGTAGTTTCTTGAGGGGGAAAGATCAATTTCACATTTGTAAACCGTCTCACATTAAAGTGTTCTTTGAAAAAGTTATGGAGTGATGTTGATATGAGGGTGGTTTGAAAAGTTTCTGACCTTACAAAGATACAAGATATTTTTTCAGATTTTCCCAGCGATGCTCCCATCTCTGCAACCCGTCCAAATAGTACTCGGCGTTTTTCTCTTCAAATTAGGTGTTCACGAAGGTGATTGCCTTTTCATTTGACGAAAATCTCTGTCCCACAAGCGCAATTTTTGAATGAGGAAACAAAAAGAAGTCGCTTGGGGCTATAGCTCTGGTGAGTGAGGTGGATGATCAAGCAGTTCAAATCGTAATCCGTGGATTTTCGCCATGGCAACCGTTGAGATGTGAGACGGTGCGTGGTCTTGGCTATACAGAAATTCCTTTTTTTTTGCAAATGTGGCCGTTTTTCCAGAAGTTTTACCTTCAGCTTGTCAAGTAATGATGCTTAGTCTGCTTCTGTATTGGTGTTTCTTTTTTTAAGATACCAAACTGAAATAATTTCATGACTATCCCAAAAAATAGTTGCCACCACTTTCCCAGCAGGAAAAAGAAATTGTCGCTTTTCTGAAGCCGGTTCCCTTGTTTAGACTGTATTTTTGTTTCGGACGCAAATTGGTGTATCTAAGTTTCATCTACAGTAATGATTCGGCGCCAAAATTTGGATTGATTGCGCATAAACTCCGCCAACAGAGTGTTGGAAAGGTTTATTCGAACACGTTTTTGGTCTAACGTGAGCAAACGCGCCACCAAACGAGCGGACAGCTTTCTCATGCCTGAATGTTGATTTAATATGGAGCAAACACGTTTCTTTGACATGTTCATAACCTCTGATGTCCCCGACCTCCTCCTCCCCCACTTCACCTCTAACAGCAAGGGCACTTCCTGCGGCGGGCGCCAAGAGCTCCGCCTTGAATAAACGCAAGGAACCGGCTGCCTCTGCAGGAATGTTCCCTCACTCGTGCACCTCCACGTAGGGAACCCCAAAAAGGTTGAAGAAGCCGCGCAACGACAGTCGCTGCACCTTTCAAAACCTTCGTGGAGGCCACCGTGAGACACCTCAAGATTGCCAAAGAGAGTGTGTGTTCGGCGAGTATTGGCCTACACCTGGCAATATAAAAGAGATGTCTTCCAGTGACCTGTCCACCTTCCTGGAAAGGACACGATGGACGATGACCTAGAACGACAATTCCTCGGGAGGATGTACGATGGGTCACATGTGTCCTAAGTGCTGTTGTCTACACTCACCCTACCTACTCTACTGATACAGAATCTCTTATATCTCTCTCACTTCAATATGGCGGTCGTCTAGCACCATTTAGTGAACTTTGGCGATTCTTTCGCCGGTAGTTGTGGTTTTTGGACGTGTCCCGAACGTTCATCGTCTCCCAAGCTCTTAGGGCCACGTTTGAATTCAGCTGCCTGAAATTTCACTGTGGTAAATGATGATGCAGAGTCCTCATCCACAGAATCCAACTCATCTTTGATTTGTGTAGGCATATTGCCTTTTGAAAACAAATATTTAGTGCCAGCTCGATACTCGATTTTGTCCATTTTCATAAAAACACTCGCATCAACTCACTCTAATGACTGTTGCATAACAACTGCGCGTCCAAAGTGGCTGAAACTTTGGTGAGTAACTGTCAACAGATGAACAACGAAATTCATTAGTTTTTACTTATGATTACTGCTATCTTCATTTTTAGGTCGGAAACTTTTCAGATTACCCTCGTAAGGTAATCAGAATTGAGGTCCAAATCTCTCAGTACGTGCCTGGTCAATTTTTGATCTGTTTTTGCATAATACTGATAATTTATTTATCACTATGACTTGCTTATTCCAGCAATCACTAGATTTGCATATCAGAATATTGGCCACTTTTTCAATGTGAAAGTATAAGTGACTTTCAAACTATGAAAGTGACTAAGGTCTTGAAGTTTTGTGTACTGGGTAAAAAATAGATTATATCTGGAACGGTTATGTGAATATGTGGTAGTGTTGTAGGAAATAAATAAAATTATATGCATCACATTTACTATTAAATACAATTCCACTAATTCATCAAAATTCAAAATGAACGCCACCGAGCTGGAGACCCCAAATTCAACAACATTTTTGGTCATCGAACTGTATATCAAATTATAAATCAACTTTCATTCCGACGCAATTTGCAAAAGGTTAGGAAAATAATATAATGCTTTTGAAGTTTTCCAAGACAACTTTCTTAGAGAGAGAGTGACTTTTGAACATTTATTATTAACTGAAATGTAAAGACAAAAGTAAATCACAGTAAATGCTCAAAATGCTAGCCTTGTTCATGATAACACAATTGTGACCTTCAAATATTCACTGCATGATTGATTTTCCTCCTCCTCAATCTTCCGAACTTTCTAACAATGCTGTGTTGGAGGTCCTCAATATTTTGATATTCCCTCTCACCATAAACTCTATTTTTCAGTGTACCCCATAGGAATGTATCCATAACACTTAAGTTTGGAGACCTTGCTGGCACCCTCACCGGCCCATTATTCTCTATCCATTTATAACCAAACCTTTCAGTCAGGTAATTAATTAGATACTCGTCTGGTAGTGTGCGGTGGAGCACCATCATGTTGAAACCAGATGTTGTTATAGTTAGCCAAAGGTAGATCATACAAATAGTCTTCGAAAATGGAGATTAAAAACTGGTGATAGGTTTCTCCATTTAGAATTCAGTCAAATAAATGAGGATCCAAAATTCTATCTTTGTAAATTCCCGCCCACACGTTAATACTAAATCGCACTTGAGGTCGAATTTTTCGGAACTGCCTGGGGTCGTTAATGCTCCAAATGTGTTCGTTATTTCGGTTGAATATCCCACAATTCGTAAAAGTGCTTTCATCGGTCCGAATAACATTTTCCAGGAAAACAGGAAAATCAGGTCGTCTTATTATAAAATTCTAATCGCTTTTCGGGATCACCTGGATGCAATTTTTTTGAGATATATGCATTTTGTAACATTTTGAACCGCTTTTTTTAAGATAAACCCAAGCCCTTGTATGAAAAATATTCATTTCGGAGAAAATTTGACGTCTTTTCACTCTATTCGTGAAAGCCATTTTTCACCAAAAACTCAATGACTTGTACAATAACAAAATGTCATTGAGTGTAACAAATTGAAAGTCAAATTTAGAAACATCAAAGTCAAAGCCTATTATGATAAGAAATAATTTTTTTCAATGTCTTAAATTTTAAGAAAAAGAATGATAACTTATGATACATCAAAAGCCTGATGTAGTCCTTCTCGACCACCAGACCAAAACGATATTTGTCGTGGCGTTTTCAGCTTCTGGCGAGTCGAATATCGTCAGAAAAGAAGAGGAAAAACGGATAAAATATCAAGATTTTCTCTTCGAACTCCGCAGATGACTCTGTCAAGATGGTAGTTCTGATTATTGGGGTCCTTGGTGGAATGATGTCCTCTCTACTCTCGAATCTTAAAATTATACCGGCTTGCCTCACTAAGGCAGAAATCTTAGCCGTACAGATGCAGAAGGCTGTCATTCTTGGCTCATTGCGTTTGCTCAGGGCACATGATTCTCGGACCCAATGACCACTTACCCCACGGTTGTGGGGAGTGGTCATTGGTTGATGATGCTGGCGTGCCCTCCCGAATATATCGGGGCTTCGGGGGATATACTATAATGTTGATCTGCCTGAAATGAGATTAGAACATTTCTCGGCTTTTTTTCAACATCCCTATTGAAAGATTACAGAAATTGTTTCGAGATCGAACCTGTTGACATAATCAATGTCACTGTTCTTGAAATTAAATGGATATTTTGTAAGTGGTTTCAGCAAAACTAACGAAATAATAATGATTTTGTGTACAATATTTGGGGAGACGTAATGACTTCCACAAAGTTCGATATTTTCGATCGAAGAAACAAACATTTTAATTCCTTATTTCATAGGGGAATATCTAATGTATCTGGGTAACCGACAATGATTAAAATAAGATAACTGCGGCCTAAACAATGCAAGTAAGATTTTTATACAGTTTTACCAGTTCCTGGATTGGAATTAGGAGTCGAGTTGCATAGCCCGCTAGATCTCCGGATTAGAATTCATCGAATTTTCTTTGAAGAAGTTCAGTGGTGGGAAGAGATGAAAGGAAATATTTTTACAATTCATTGAATGAAATAGAGATAGTTTGAGTAGAACAAATCAATATCTTCCAATGATTATTTTCTATTTCAGGAGAAAATTCGCTGCTGGTATTCTCATTGGAGAAATTAGTATGGTGGAGATTAGAATTACTGGAACTGGCTAATCCACTGAGTTCAATCAATGCTGATTTTCTAGCGATATCCAAAACTGGACCAGAACTGTTCATTGCTAGTGAAAATGATTTAGAATTGTTCGCTTTAGATCTCCACAATTTGAGGACTTTGGAAGAACCTTCAATAATTGACAAGAAGGTAAGTCATTGTACTAGGAAAGTTACTGTATTCAGAAGATAATGAAACAGCAATGAGACTAGCAAAACGAATAATACGAAGAAATTTCTGTCGCTTCTGCTAGAGAGAACCATTTTTTCAATTATCTCTAATAGACCTTTGTTTTCTATTTTAACACTGATATCGTTTCAGAATACACGAAAAGAAAATGTTACATTGATCGGAAAAAAATTAGGAAAATCCAGAGGACTTGAAGCTGATTTCAAATCAGGACTAAGTTACTTCATGATGAGGGATTACGCTATTGTACGTTGGTTAATTGGGTAGGTGATCAAAAATCATTCGAATCTATGACAATTTTTCTACATATTTCGATTCTCTTCTTATCTTGTAGTGCATTTTTTTTTCAATTATCTTTTTTTTTCGTATCTCATTCTTTTAGTACTAACCTCTTGCCATTTCTAATTCTTTTGTACTTTTTCTTTGATTGTGAAGTTAAACCTATGTATCTTTGTATATCAATTTAGTATTTGTTGTGATCGGCGTGTTCTTCATGCACATTTCAATTATTGTTCATACATTTTTGTTCAGAATTTTTCGTCTGTTTCGTTTCTCCAATATTCTTCTGTTCCTCCGTTGTTATTATTGAATTACATTTATAGATATCATTATTAACATTATTCCTAAATTGATCATTTGGTTTTGAATATACTCAAAAAATTTCATTTTTTAATTGATCCAACATTTTAGTGTTCACTATTAGTTTTTTAAATTAGAGAATAAAACTTTATTGTCCAACCTCTAACTGTAGCTGATTTATTTTTGTTTCTAAGTGAAGCCATGTTTTGTTTACTGAAAATGAAAAAGTTAAGTCTGAGAAAGTATTTGAAGTGCTTTGAAAATTGAAAAATATTCTGAAAAAAGGTTGGTTGGGTAAAAGGATCAATTTTTTTTTAAAACAATTGTTTTCTTGCCGACGCTTCGAATTTAATTAAATTATTCTTCAGGGCTCGAAAAGTAGTTTTTTCGTGTTGATAATATTACTATTTTAAAAACCATCAGACATATTAGATACATATTTGAAAAAAGTAATAAACATTGCAAACAACCAAAATTTCCGAGACAACACCAACACAGAACGACATGAAACATGATTGAAATTGAAAGAGGTATACTTTTAGTAGAGAATAATTTTTGGGAAAGAAAAATTTTGGCTGTCTACTTCTCCATCTTTATACGAAAAAATGTTGGAATCTTCTAATTGAAGTGAGAAAGCAATTGATTTCAAAATAGAATATTTACAAAGATGTGCAGATCATTCAAAGGAGTAACTTTCGAACACAAACTGGAAGAAAATGTCCTCTCCAAACAACTACTTTTATACAAATTTGAATTATACCAAAGAAAAAATACTTCTGAAGCAATTACTTTTATATAAATATTGAAGTATACAAAAACACTTTCACCTATTGAGTTTGTACTTATGGAATCGTTATAGAATTGAATCAGATATATAATTCACAGGATTACTACATAATATATAGGGTCTTCCAAAAGGGACTTCCAAATTTTGACAATTATGTTCATGTTTAAATATGTTTTTTCCATAAAATAGCTATCGCACCCCTACGAACGACAACCCTCAGAAGTCGAAACTTGTGAGAGCTAAGGTCTAACGAGGTCTTACCTACCGAGATAACTATTCGAAATGTGGTGGATAAATTTGAGTCCACTGGTTAAGTAAACGGTAGACCAACTGTTAGAAATGGTTGATTTTTAGCCAGCTTTGTATTGAGTGTGCCCTGTAGACATGTTTGGATGTTGATATTTGTTTTGAAGTAGTTGTCAATTTTGATAAAATAATAGTATATTATGCAACGATCATGTAATGATGGTTATTAAGACACGAGCATTAACCGGGATACGAAACGAGCCGAAGGCGAGTTTTGTATGGTATATGCGAGTGTATTAATAACCATTACATGAGAGTTGCATACGCTATTTTTTCTAGAAACGGGTTATATCATAAAATGAAAAATGCTGGAATTGAATTCAGCGAGAAAGTTCAAGCAGGTTTCACGGTATTAGGTTTACCTGATCAATATGAACACTTAGCAAGGAATCTGAGAGCCGATGAAGATGACCTGAATATGTGCAATTTGAAGTCAAAGCTGCTAGAAGAAGAAAGACGAATCGAAAGTGAGCTAAATGGACATAAAGAAAAATATGAAGTTGGAGCATTTGCGACGCAAAAGACACAGATGAATTTTGAAAGTGGAAATTTCAAACCTAGACGTGGAAAGCCATTCAACAGAGCAGGCTCGAACCGGAATAGAGAAGATACTACTGATACCATAAAACCCAGTTATTCACACGAACATTTGAGGCGATATAGATGTCTGGAGATAGGTCACATTGGAAAAAATTGTCCTTTGTCTGCAGCAAAAGGAACGAAACCATACATATCTTCCAATAAGTTGGAAAAGTCAGACGCTTCAACTTCAAAATTTGCATTAAGTGCTATACGAAGGAAAGAAAAAGAAAATGAACATCATTTTTTTTACTTGGTAAATAATAAAACGAATTGGGATACTTGGATACTAGACAGTGGATCTACCGATCATATGACGTCAAATTTTGAGAAATGCACGAATTTTACCAAACAAAACACAGTTGTAGAAATGCTAGTGAAAAGGCTATCCTATGAAGAGGTTTTGGAGATATTGAACTGGAGTTGGACGAAGAAAATGGAGGATCCGTTATAGTACTTAAAAATGTTCTATATGTTCCAGAACTGAGAACTAATTTATTGCCGACTAGTGTGGCAACTGAAAAAGGCTTGAAAATCATTCGAAAATAATTGCACCAAGTGGAGAACTAGTTGCAAAATCGATCAAAATCAACGGATTACATTACATAAAAGGGAAGAATACTAATACGAAGCAACATGAGCCATTTGCTAATATTTCTGCGAATGAAGCCATTTCTAAAGAAAATCAATTATGGTATAGATGTCTCGCTCATTTGAATATTCTTACTGTGAAGATGAAGCTCAAAGAAGACGAAAATATACAAAACTCTGATGAATGCTATTATTCAAGAATTTGATAATCTCATTAGAAATAATACATGGAATTTTGTAAAGCGGTCAGACGAAACTAAAACAATCAAGACGAAATGGGTTTTTAAAACAAAGTATAATGAAAATGGACGGATAGAAAAATTTAAGGCCAAAGTTGTTGCACTAGGAAATACTCAAAGGCCAGTTGTTCGGAAGAAAACTATGAGGATGCTGTTTGCCATTGCCGCTGAGTTGAGTTGGTTGAAAATCTAAATGGGACAAGAAACTATGGATTAGAATATTCAAAAACTGGAAAAATTATTATGGAAGCCTACAGTAACGTAGATTGTGGATCAAATGGAACAGAAAGAAAGTCCTACAGTGACTATGTTTTCAAAATTGAAGGAGGAGCTGCGAGATGGTCCAGCAGTAAGTACTGTAGAATCAGAATTTATCGCCTTGAGCGAAACAGCCAAAGAACTGATTTTTTTGAAGAAATTGGCTCATGAAATATCCAAGGAACAATTTTTTGGTGATTGTTTTCCTATATTTATCGACAATTAAGGTACGATTAAACTAGCCGAAAACAATATAATTTCCGGAATGTCCAAACACATTGATGCGTATGTTTCACATCAGAGCTTTGATAGAAGAAAAAACAATAGTTTTGAAATATGTTCCATCATGAGAAAATTTGGCAGATCAACTGACGAAATGTGTTGCTGCAGTCATTTTGGTGGAGCATTTGAGAATTGGGGATCAAAGATTCAGGGGGAGTGTTAGAAATGGTTGATTTTTAGTCAGCTTGGTATTGAACTGTTTCATTTAATTTTGAGTGTGCCCTGTAGACATGTTTAGATAATGATAATTGTTTTGAAGTAGTTGTCAATTTTGATGAATATAAGTCATTACGCAACTTAATTTTTCTCTTTCGATTACGAACGTATTCAACTATATAAAAATAGTTGAACCATTGCAACAAAAAGTTCAACACCAACAACACTCCTACACTAGTTGCACACACACCGATTTTGGACGGCCAGTATAAAATCGGCCGATATTTTATTGGTAGCGAGTGCTTGCACACTCACCGGATTTTTATCGGTCAAACAATCAGTTGCTTTGTTGTCGTAATTAGCACGCACTACCAAAACGAAGCGTTACGCTAGTTGCACACACACCGATTTTGGCCAGCCGACTTTGTACCGGTCGTCCAAATTCCAATAGTGAACCACATGTGGGAATGGGACCTGGCACACACGCCGACCGGTGATCGTCGCCGGTAAAATACCGGTGAGCAGCCGTCCACTGCCACTGTATCGCCGGCAGTACCGGGAAGTAGTGGCGTACATGACTAAATACACTCTTGCATACTCACCGGTTTCTTATCGACCATTCCAGTCTCGAATGCTCGGTGAAATTGTAGTTACTAAACATTAACTTCGTTTTGGTAGTGCATGCTAATTACGACAACAAAGCAACTGATTGTTTGATCGATAAAAATCCGGTGAGTGTGAAGCACCCGCTACCAATAAAATATTAGCCGATTTTATAAGGGCCGTCCAAAATCGGTGTGTGTGCAACTAGCGTTACAAAATTCAACTGACCCAGGAACTGAAGGTAAACGACCATATACAACGACGCTGATTGGGCTCCGGAGAAGTTGGCAACTGACCCTAGGATTTTCTAGGAGAACGACATTGGCCAGGCCATCATTAGCATCGGCGAGCACTATATTTCGAAGATTACCAACTTTTTTTGGCCTGAATTGGATGATCTGCATACCAGTGACATGTGGTTTCAACATGACTGTGCTACGTGCCACACTGAATTCTGCGATTTGAGGACACGGTCATCCCACGTGGAGGTAATGTTAAAGCTTGTCTACTTGTCCGGTGGAGGGTCGAATAGACCCACTCACTTTGGACCTAACCGGTACAGCACAGTACGGCCCGTCCCGTTAAAATACGTATAGGATTGGAATAATGAAAATGAATGGACAACCGCCCACTAGCCCAGTACGGCACAGCCAAGCGCGTCCGTTGCCGGAAAGGATTCCAGCTCTCCGATCCTGACCGGCAAATAAGGGTACGTGCTGTGACGGACTGGACAAGTGAGCGAGTCGCCGGCCAACACTTACCAGCATCAACTTGTCCAAACGTGCCTGGAAAGTTTTGCTATTTAATTAGTTGACAGCACAGTGTCAGACAGTACCTATGAAAATGGACGAGGAAAAATTGAATTGCTTGTTAAGGCAGGCTCTAGAATATCCAGAAGTTCTGAAAATTTGTCTGGAGTTATTTGGAAATACTGGAAAAATTTCTCCTCGTCTTCTTTCAGGCCGTTGAAAAGATGATGAAAATCTCCCAGATTTGCCCTCTTTTGATTAATGGAATGTACCACATACTTTTTTTTGTGACTATTTTCTTCTATATTCAACAATGCTGCCACTATAATGATAACTTCTTCGTCAGAACTGCTAGTGATAGCAGCACCTTCGGTATGTTGGTTATAGCTGGACAAGTGGGCGATACTACTATCCGTTGCCATCAGCCGACGGACAGCGCCGTGCTGTGCTGTGCCGGACAAGTAGGCGACAAGCTTAACTGGCCTATGAAACCGTGCGATTTCACTCTACAAGGCTTTTTCTTGTAGAGTTTCCTTAAGTCGCAGGTTCATGCAATGAGCTACAAATCACAGCGGTTTTCAAAGCCAACATAACCTATGCCTTCGGTCAAATTGAGCCTGATTTATGTACCAGTCATGGAAAATTGGGCGGATTGGATGCGCTCCACCCAGAGAAGCCGTGGAGGACATTTGCACGATATTATATTCCACACATAATGACATCAATAGGTCTATCAAACAGATAAAAAATTTTGATAGTATCAACAGACACTTTGTTTTATTTGATTTTAAAGATAGAAAGCGCTCTATGAAATACCCTATACTATATTAGAGAGTATAGTATATGTGTAAGATGTGTTTTATTCCGTGAAATCGGATTTTCGCCACTGAGGATGACAGTGTTCCATGTAAGTGAACGTTTACCTCTTTCATATCCTATATTGTGTAGGAATCTTGTGAATAATACCTGATTCAATTCCATAAATAGGAAAAAGTGGTTTTTGTTCAATTCAATGTTAATATGGAAGTAGTTGTTTCGAAAGGACCTTTTCTTTCTTTACACAAGATGAGGGACTGCCAATGGGATCGCCACTTCCACCAGTCATAGCCAACATATATATGGAGTGGTTTGAAACTCTGGCTATTGAAGAAGCCCACAAGAAACCTCGAGTCTGTTTGAGATATGTTGACGACACCTTCATAATATGGAACCATGGGAATACTGAACTAGACGCCTTACTGAAACACATCAACAGCATGAGCCCTTCCATCACTTTCACAATGGAGAAGGAAATCCACAACGGATTGCCATTCTTAGACGTTTTGGTGAAGAGGACCGACATTAAGTGGGAAACATCTGTATACCGAAAACCCACTCACACGGGACAGTATCTGAACCACGAATCCAACCACCATCAATCAACTAAAAGAGACATCATCAAGACTTTATTAGACCGTGTTTTCGGGCTCTGTAATCCGAAGGAAGGTCTCGAGAAGGAACTAGACATCATCAAAAATGATCTTCAACGGAATGGCTACTCCAATGCGATGGTAGAAAAGACTTTGGCTGAAAGACAGCAGGAGCCTCGCAAGGAAGAGATGCCGTCACAACCAGTGCTTGCACTTTCCTACATCAGATGATTATCGGAGAGGATAAGAAGAATTAATTCCAAGTACAACATCAGAACCTGCTTCAAATCCGGTAACACTATCCGTAGCAGCCTCCAGGCTGCCAGGCAGCCAGGCCACCAAACGCGGACTGCAATTCCAAGAATTACATGTACCGGATACCCTGTGAGTGCGGAAAATCCTATATTGGTGAAACTAAGAGGCCATTGAATGTTCGCATTGCCGAGCACAAGAAACAAACAGAGAGGGTAAACCAGCAAATCAGGAATAGCAGACCATGTTTGGACCCATCAACACAACATCGAGTGGTCCTAAGCTGAGATCATACACAGAGAGGATCATTGGTTCACGAGAAAATTCAAGGAAGCCGCATACATGCTGTCCAACAACATATTCATAGCTAGCGTAGAGATACGCAACATATGGAAACCAATCATCAAGCGAAAAGTGGCCAACTCCCGCCAAACAATCATCTCCCACTGAACCAGTCAAGCGGAAAAAATGGAAAGCGGGGAAAAGTGAAAGTACTCGAACGACCCATAAATAGTCATCTCTCGGTGGAATCAGTTCAGTTATCACCCGAAGACGATTGTGAATACTAACAGGCGAAACGTCGTGAACTAACGTGGCTTGGAATCGTTCTATTTTCACTTGTTTATTGTTTCACTTTTATTTCATTTCAGGTTATTTTTGCCTAATATAATTTTTATTTCCAGATATTCATTTTCAATTCTTCTTTTTTAGCTGTTTCAGGGATTTTAAATCATTTTATATATCAGACAATGGAAGTCGGAACTAGTGAAAATAAGTGCAATTTGTTACCATTCATTTAAAGTAGAACTCCTGTGGATGATATCTGATTTTATTCCATAACGAATGTTTGGAATACAAACTGAGCAGAGAAAAATATCTTCTGTATAATTCAGTGTTCATATAAAAATATTTGTTTCGAAAGAATTTTTTTTCTTTCGTGTAATTCAATGTTTATATGAAAATAGCTGTTTCAGGAGGGCTTTCTTCCAGTTTGTGTCTGATAGTTACTTCTTTGCATGATCTATACATCCATGAATAGAGTTACTCATTTTCAAATTGATTACTTCCTTTCTTTGGAAGATTCCCACACCTTTTTTTTGTATCAAGATGAAAGAGTAGTAGTATCAATTTTTTAGTATTACGTAAATAAAATGCAAACATTGATCAATTTTTTATTTGTTTACAGTTCTCCAATTGAAGCTGAATATCACAATGTCCTTGCACAGTCGTATGAGAAGTTTCCGTTTGTTTCGGAACTTTTTACAGGTCCTCAGAACGGTCTTTGGGCTATCGTCAATCCAGCAGGCCAAGACGGTTGTTCCAACTTCAATGAAACAATGGAAAACCTGCCAGAGCTACAGAGCAGGGTGGTTCGAATTCTACGATATAATAAATTTGTGAGAGATCTTGAAGTGGATCGAAAATAAAAAAGGTTTTTGTCAAGACATTTCAGAAATTTGTATCTACATATTTTATCAGAAATTAAAACTTCATTCTCCCTACAGAAACGAAATAGTTCCCAAATGGTCAATAATTTAACCAAATTTACCATTTGAAATTATTTTGGGGTTTCTAAGTTTCAACAGAATTTCAACTTAATAATGTGAAGTTGGTACTGACTACTATAACTCTAAAATAAAATAGTAGGCACTGAATTCTGAGAAATAATTGAGGTATTTGCCCTAATCTGTCTCTTGCAGTGGCGTACGGAAATTATACTGAACAGGTGAGGCAAAATGATGATAAAATATATAGAATCACAACTTGACAACAATGTTTTCGTTT